TAGTTACAATTGTTAGATCTTCTTGTTGGATATACCCTTTAAGTAGGATATAGTGTCCTTCCTCTTCTCTTATTACAGTCTTTGGTTTAAAATCTAATTTGTCTGCTATAAGGATTGCCACCCCAGCTTTCTTTTGGTAGCCATTAGCATGGTAAATGGTTTTCCACCCCCTCACTTTCAATCTGGGAGTGTCTTTGGGTCTAAAATGAGTCTCTTGCAGACAGCAGATGGATGGGTCTTGTTTTTTAATCCAATCTGATAGCCTGTTTCTTTTGATTGGGGCATTGAGCCCATTTACATTCAGGGTAGCTATTGAAAGATATGAATTTAGTGCCATTGTATTGCCTGGAAGATGACTATTACTGTACATTGTCTGTGTTCCTTTCTGGTCTATGCTGCTTTTAGGCTCTCTCTTTGCTTAGAGGACCCCTTTCAATATTTCTTGGAGGGCTGGTTTTGTGTTTGCAAATTCCTTTAGTTTTTGTTTGTCCTGGAAGCTTTTTATCTCTCCTTCTATTTTCAATGACAGCCTAGCTGGATATAGTATTCTTGGCTGCATATTTTTCTTGTTTAGTGTCCTGAAGATATCATGCCAGTCCTTTCTGGCCTGTCAGGTCTCTGTGGATATGTCTGTTGCCAATCTAATGTTTCTACCATTGTAGGTTACATATCTCTTGTCCCGAGCTGCTTTCAGGATTTTCTCTTTGTCTCTGAGACTCGTATGTTTTACTATTCGATATCGGGGTGTTGACTTATTTTTATTGATTTTGAGAGGGGTTCTCTGTGCCTCCTGGATTTTGATGCCTGTTTCCTTCCCCACATTAGGGAAGTTCTCCGTTATAATTTGCTCCAATATACCTTCTGCCCCTCTCTCTCTTTCTTCTTCTTCTGGGATCCCAATAATTCTAATGTTGTTTCGTCTTATAGTATCGCTTATCCCTCGAATTCTGCCCTCATGATCCAGTAGTTGTTTATCACTCTTTTTCTCAGCTTCTTTATTTTCCATCATTTGGTCTTCTATATCACTGATTCTCTCTTCTGCCTCATTTATCCTACCAGTTAGTTCCCCCATTTTTTATTGCACCTCATTAATAGCCTTTTTGATTTCAATTTGGTTAGATTTTAGTTCTTTTATTTCTCCAGAAAGGGTTTCTCTAATAACTTCCATGCTTTTTTCAAGCCCAGCTAGTATCTTTAAAATCATGATTCTGAACTCTAGGTCCGACATCGTACTAATGTCCGTATTGAGTAGGTCCCTGGCAGTCAGTACTACCTCTTGTTCTTTTTGTTGAGGTGATTTTTTCTGTCTTGTCATTTTGTCCAGAGGAGAATAGATGAATGAGAGAACAAAATGCTAACAGGTTAACAACGTCCCCAGAAAATATACTCTAAATAAATCAGAAAAGCCCTGAAACCAGGGGAAAAGAAAGGGAAAGAAAGAAAAAAGAAAAAGATAAAAGCAAACAAAAGAGAACAAAACAAAACAAAAAACCAATATGATCAATTATGATCAGGCTGGTGCATAGATCAGTGCCACACACTAGATTTTGCGTGTATTTTGGTGTGTTAGAAGAAAGTGCCTCCCAAAATTTTAAAGAAAGAAAAACTTATATATGTACAAAATTAAAGGTTGATACAATGAAGGGATGGAATATGACTGTAAAGATGAAAATTATAAAAAATTTGTAAAAGGAATTGATAAGAAGTTGTTTGAACAAAGAAAGAGGATTTAAAAACAAAAAAAGAAAAAAAGGGAGAGAATGTGTTTAGGCAGGAGACTAGAACAAAGCCATACACTAGAGATTTAGGGTATATTTTGATCTGTTAGAAGAAACTGTATCTTGGCAACCCTATCAGCACCCCTCTCACTCCTGAGAGCTTTTTCTGTATCCTTGCTTAATAAACTTCTATCACTGAAAAAAAAAAAAAGAAGAAACTGTATCTCAAAATTTTAAAGAGAGAACAACCTATTTATATAAGCCAAAAATAAGGGTAACTACTATGAAGGGATAGAATATGACTCTAAAAATGAAAAATAAAAATGTTTTTATTAAAAATGGGATTGATAAGATGTTGGTTGATAAAGGGAAAAAGAAAAATTTAAAAAAAAAGTTAACTTTGAAAGACTAAAGAATCATGGTAAAAAAGCCATGAACTCTACGTGCAGTATTCCCCTAGTGCTGGAGTTCTGCCGTTCTCATTGATCGGTAAACTTGGTCTTGGCTGGCTGTTCTTGCTGATCTTCTGGGGGAGGGGCCTGTTGCCGTGGTTCCCAAATGTCTTTGCTGGAGGCAGAATTGCTCCGCCCTTGTCGGTCCGGGCTAAGTAATCTGCTGGGGTTTGCTCTTGGGAGCTTTTGTTTCCTGCAAGCTTTCCTTACAGCTTTGGAGGACGAGAGTGAAATGGTGGTCTCCCAGTCTCTGCCCTGGAGGAGCCGAGAACTCGGGGCCCCACTCCTCAGTGCGCCCCCAGAGAAAAGCAGTCAGTCACTCCCGTCTCCAGCCACACTCCGTGCTCACCCGGCCTGTGACTGAGAGTTTCTATCTCTGGCACCGGAGCCGGTGTGGAGTCTCCAAACCCAGCAGATACCTGTGGTGCACTCCCGCGCTGCTCTTCCCCGGGGAGGAAGGGGAGTCTCCCTGGATCTGCCGCTTGTTGGGTCCCCGCTGGAGGAGCAGTGACCCGACTGTGTCACCGATCACAGTCTATGGCAACCCCGAGCTGAGAGCCCGTACCTCTGCTCCGTCTCTGCAGCCGAGTTCCTCGCTCCGATACCCGGGAGCTCTGCGGCACTCAGGCACCCCCGGTCTTTCTGTGACCCCGAGGGTCCTGAGACCACACTGTCCCGCGAGGGTTCCACCCCCCGCTTAGCCACTGCAGCGACGTCCCTCAGCGGAGCCGACTTCTAAAAGTTCCTATTTTGTGCTCCGAGGCTCTATCACTTGCCAGAAGCGGCCGACGGAGGCCCCCTCCCCCGCCGTCTATCCTCCCGAATATTGCCTCGGATTCACTTCTCCGCACGTCCTACCTTCCAGAAAGTGGTCGCTTTTCTGTTCAGAGAGTTGTTGCTATTCTTTTCTTCGATCTCCTGTTGAGTTCGTAGGTATTCAGAATGGTTTGATCCCTATCCAGCTGAATTCCTGGGACCAGATGAAATCCAGGTCTCCTACTCCTCCGCCATCTTGCTCCACCTGGGTAGATCACATTCTTAAGCCTGTTGCTATCTCCCTAAATAGAATGTACATCCCCTGAGCGCTGAGGCCATGCCTTCTGTCATTGCATACCCCGCCCCCATGTGCCTTATGTAGTCAGGGTGTTCAATGAGTAATTGACTAAATCCCTCCAGTAGTTATTACATGTGTCTTTTTTTATTTTAAAAACAAAGTGGGGGGGGGAGAAAGTTTCCACCAAACTGCTATCAGATTCCCTTGTCTTAGGATAGGAGTTTCCTTTTTCCTTTTATTTAGATAGGTCACTGTCATCAAGAGAATCAGTGTTGAGGAAGGCCAACACTGGAAGGAACCAAGTCTCCTGGGACTGAGTAGGCAATAACCCTAACTTCCTCTTCTTTAGATTGCTGGCAAATCTATACGTTACCCCTTTGTCCTTTGGTACTTCATTCTCTTTCTTTTTCTTTTTTTTTTTTTTAAGTTCAGTTAGGCTGACTTTTTTTTTACCTTTTTATTTATTTACTTATTTTTATTATTATGTTAATCACCACACATTACATCATTAGTTTTTGATGTAGTGTTCCATGATTCATTATTTGCATATAACACCCAGTGCTCCATGCAGAACGTGCCCTCTTTAATAGCCATCACCAGGCTAACCCATCCTCACTCATTCTTTTTCAATGGAGATGTTTCATGAGTCACTTTGGCAGGGTTTTCTTCATTAGATATTTATGTTTTTCTTGGACTTTATGCTATATTTATGAAATCGGACACAATCATAGACACAATCATTTGGTTAAAATTTGCAGTTTTCAATGATTTTTCTAACATTTACTAAAAGAGTGACCTAGTTGTTCCTATTTTCAGAAACATTATCAGCAAATATCAGCACAGCTGATATTTGCATGGCATTTTACAGTATACACAATCTTTTCACGCCCATTTCATTTAGTCCTTGCAAGAACATCATGCAGAAGATATTATTATATGACCATTATGTAAGATGAGGAACCCAGGACTCAGAGCTGAAATGAATTGCTCTAGAATAATGGGAGAATTGGATGGTGCTTTATATTTGTGCAGCTCTTTCAAATTTTCCTGGGTGATCTCCTTCATCTACTACTTACGGTGTACATCTTTTGAGAACACCAGTTGGCCATATTGTTATTTTGATCTACTCTGTGCTTCAAATCCTCAAGACTATGTCTTAATCTTTTTTTGTGAATCCTAGCTTACAATGCCATGGGAAAACAGGTCCAGCCAATAGCTAAGGCCAACAGGCCAAGAACCCAGTAGACCTTTGCTTTGGTAGATAGAGAAGGGGTAGTCCTGGAAAATCCAGCTGTGGAAGAAGACTGGTGCCTCTAAGAGCAAAGGGCCATCCAGAGTGGTAATTGATGAGAGCCAACTTCCAATGCTATCCTCTAAAAGCAAGAGACCTCCCAAGTAAACGAGTCAGAGAATGTATTTGCAGGGCCCACCCCCTAATAAGTTCTTATCCAACTTGATACACCTTTCCTTTCTCTTCATCTGATAGCCAATACCTTGTCCCGTTCCCTTGCTGCACCTCTACCAGGCTCTCCTTGCAGAAATGAATTCAGAACTCACAACACTCAGGTGCACACTGTAGCTATTATAGTAAGTCCCAGGAAGGCTTCACTTCAAGATGATCTCTGAAGATGTCAAAGGAGTTGCGTGTGTGTGTGTTTAAAGTAAGCCTACACCTCACAATATAGACCACATACCCTTTGACTAATAAACATGCTCTATACATTATTATTTGATCTCTTTTATGCCTGGAATCCCTCTTACCATCCTCTTTTGTGACTTCTATTTCTAGTATTTTAGTACTTTAGCATCTACATTTTTGGCTATACTTCTCTCCTTCAAAATGGTTCTCCTCCCCCTGTTGCATTACCGGGGAGAATTTTCCTGTCCCTGGAACTTACATAAACAACTTCTTTCCTATAGAAACTGCCAAGAATCATCATCAGAATCACCATCATCATTTTAAGGGACTCAGGTTAAGGTCCTCCTAGGAGATGCAGAGCTCCTGCTGCGTTTCTGTATTTGTTCTGATAGAAGTTCCCACACCACAGGGGAGAATGGCAAGTAGCTGGCATCCCTTGGGACAGACCCAAATACAACGTGGAAACCAGAACTCCCGCTTTCTCAAGCACAGCCCCGGACTGCCTGCCAAGCTGTTCTGCCACCCATTCAGCTGCGAAACCACTTCTGTGCCTGCGGGAGCTGGGAGCCTTGGCTCCTCCTCAGATATGAATGACTTCCTCTGTCTACTCTTAGCCAGAGGAGATTTCTCTTTGTCTCAGCTTCCTCTTAGCTATGATCAATTTTTCCTTTTTCTTTTTAATCCAAAAAAGCAAAAAAAAAAAAAAAAAAAAAAAAAAAAAAACTCTACTTCTTCAGCATAACCCATTTGTTTTTATTTTCTGGACACCAAATCTTGAAAGAGACTATTTTTTCTCCTTTACTTTGGCCAGCAGAAGCTCAGGTCAAAATTGAACACTCATCGGGGGCCTGGGTGGCTCAGTTGGTTAAGCAACTGCCTACTGCTCAGGTCATGATCCCGGAGTCCTGGGATCGAGTCCCACATCGGGCTCCCGGCTCAGCGGGGAGCCTGCTTCTCCCTCTGACCCTCTCCCCTCTCATGCTGTTTCTCTCTCTCTCGCTCTCTAATAAATAAATAAAATCTTAAAAAAAGAATTGAACACTCCTCTGCAGTGAACATGAAGACCTTGAGGCCCAGATGTCCTATAATTCATGTGTTCCTTGCCTCTCTATCTTCATCTTCCTGTTCTACTTTTTTTTCTCTTCTCCCCACTTTTGCTATGTAAATATTTGCATTCTCTAATAGCATATAACAACTTATCTTACGTTCTTTTATTGAACAAGGTAAAATATTTTTTAAAAATCTTCATATAAATGAATTAAACCATCTTACTCATAACGTGCTGCATAGAGATGTATTTTCTATGCAGTGAGGAGTTATTTGCAAAGATTGCAGAGTCACTGCCAGGAGGATATGGCTGGGGTGGCGGTGGAAACCCCTCAGATGAGGGTCCCTTCCAAGTGGACCCTGGGGTCTCTTCTCACTGACCGCCTGTGTAATGTTAACTCACTTTGAAGACCTGAAATCAGAATACACTTCCATGAATTCTTGGTGACCTTGAAGAGGAGCAAGAAGCATCAAATCTTTCTGTACTTATTCAAAGAGTGTGTATGGAAATGCAGGTTCCACGAGATTGCACTTGACCCCTAATACTACATAATGTCCCAAAGTCATCATTCCAGACAGTTCCTTTTGGGGACATTCTAGAAACATCTAGAGTACTGGGAGTTCCTTAATTGACCGCAGTTGATGTTAGAATCATGTTGCAAAATGTTTGACCGTATCAGCCAACCAGCTGAAATGACCTTTTGAACAGATAGAATTCTGTAGCTGGCTGATATTTGAGTGTGTCTGTTACTAATTTTAAAGGCTTGACATATTTTCTGCCCAGGTAGTCTGACAGTAAAATCACGTACAAGACAAAGTTTTAGGAAGGAGCTAAATCCATTCACATCTCTTGCGACACATTAATAGCACAAAACAAGGAAAATCAAGAATATTTAACTTCCATTAAGGCATTTTATGTGAAAGTTGGGACTGCTGCTAAACAGTAGAATCATCTTCCTTCCAGAAACATCTCCGGGTCTGAATTGGAATTGTTCATTAAGCTGGATACAGATTCTTTCCAAGAGACCCAGGAGGGTTTGTGAATGTTGCCCAGTGGAAGGGATGGACTACACCAGTTCTAACCTTTAATTTGGCAGAATCTACCTCATACAGAGCTTTGCTCAAAAATATCTTAAATAGAAATGTGCATTAAAGGCACAGGAAGAAGAGAAAAATGACAGAAAGAATAGGGAAGATTCTTTTGGAAGAGAGAAGCATGCTATTTGCTTCCCAGTGCACGTGTGTGGGTGTGTATGTGTGTACACACAACACACACACACACACACGTACGCACATGCCCAGATACTCACATGTCTCAAGGTGGCAGAAGTCTAAGACGTATCTTGTCCAACCTTCTGCCCAACACATAATTCATTTCTATAATATTTTTACAGGCTGATAGAGAACATTTCTACTTCAACACTGCCAGTTACAGGAAGCTCACTATTTCACGAGGCAAATCCCTCAATATTCAGACAACTGGAATGGTTAAATTTTTTTTTCATGACATTGAATGAAGAGCTTCTTCAGTTATTTCTTCAGTGACCCCAGCTCTCTTTGCCAGAGCTGCATACAACCTATTAACCCATCTTTCATAGGATAATCCTAAATAAGTATTTGAAGGCTGTTATAATCATGATAATGATGATGGTGGTAATTATCATCATCATTATCCATACCAGTAGTACATAACATTTCTTGAGTACTTCCTGTAAGTGATTCGCAAAGCATTGTATATGTTGATCTCATTAATCCTCAGGACTCAAGGAAATAGATACATTTCAAAAATTCATTTTACAGATGAGAAGACTGAGGTTGGAGAGATTAAGCAGCTTGTCCTGGCTAACAGAGGTAGCAGGACGCAGAGCTAGGTTTGAAACTGGGCTTCCCCAGGCTCTTTTCTAGCTTCACATTAGTGGCCTATTCCGTGGATGATGTGTGCAGGTGTTTTCTCAGGGGAGTATTATGAGGACTAAAATTTCACCTTCTGATATTTTAGATACCATACTACATACTGTCTCACACAAAGCACTCTCCGCTCCTCACATCTTTCGTATAGTAGTGTATTTTTAGGAATTCCTGTATCAGCATAAACACTGTCTGAAGCCCTGTGCACAGAAAACTGCAGCCCTGCGGTTTTCTTTTACTGGTCCAATGATTTTTCAAGTTGATCCTTTACAAACTGAGGTGTCTGAGTCACGAGGTAGAGAAATGCCTTCCACAGAGCACAGCACCCAGCATCAAACTGCGGCTCCATGAATATGTGCCAAATGAATGAATGGACCAGTGGCCTCCTGAAAAAGATAGTTTAATGCCTAGAGCTGAGAGCAGTAGAAATTTTGCTGATTACCTAGTAAAACTATGTTTTCCCTATTCTTTTTTGTTAAGTTGGGATTGCAAATATATATCACATCTGTATTTCTCTGTTGATTTGATCCCCTCATGCAATTATACTGTAATTTGTTTGAAAATAACTTTTTGGATTAATATCAATACTTTCTCATGTTTGCACTTCATGAAGTAGCCAATCTTGTTACCACTGAAATGTCAAATTATGAGAGTTTCTGACTTGCCAGGAAGTTGCACTTCTGGGACATCTGGCTTCCTGTATAGGCCATGAGGGGCCCCTTGGGCTCTAAGTCTGTGTTTTCTAAACTCTTTTCCTCAGAAATTTTAAGAAACTTTCCTTTCTGGACAGATATTTTAATAATATCCTCATTGTGCTTGTCCATTAACATGGTATTTTTCTACATCAGTAGAAAGGAAACAAAGAAATGCTGAAGTATTAACTGTAAAGATTCAGGGAATTGGTGAAGGGGAGAAGGAAACAATGCAGAATATACCTAAGCTCTGCCTCCTATAACTAAAATACCTGATTCTTAGAATACCATGTTCTTTGGTTAATTGTCATTAGAGTAAATGAGACACAAAACACAAGTGTATTTTCCAGAGACAGCTTGTGACATTCTTCTCACTGTCATACATTGTATGGTTTAGACCAGATATCCCTAACTTTTAGAGAGCCAGAACCTCAGAGATATTTATCTGTCCCTGATTTAGGATGAAGTTGCTAAGTTATTAGTCATCACCTGGTATGGAGATGCTTTATATCTGCTCTTCAGATGCAACTAATGGGGGTCCAGTGTGATTTATGCAAGTCCAGCCCTTTAAGAAGTCTATTTTTTTTTTCTTAGAAGAAGAAGAAGAAGAAGAAGAAGAAGAAGAAGAAGAAGCAGCAGCAGCAGCAGCAGCAGCAACCAAAGTCTATTTTTCATCCTGCTAATGGTGTTTGGTTTTATGTTGCCTCTCCTAGGTTTGCTGGGATGGGAAACCTGCTCAAAGTCCTTACCAGGGAAATTGAAAACTATCCACATTTTTTCCTGGATTTTGAAAGTAAGTTCCAAAAATTAAAAGATGATGATGGGAACTTTTTTGCTTTCTTTATAGCTTGTTGATAGAGAAGCTATAACATAAAGATTTTTTTTTTAAATTTTATTATGTGATACTTAAACCCACATGTCACTATGCATTTCTTTCTCTGAGTCTTCAAAGATTATTTCATTTCTTTCTTTTCTATTATTTTTTTAAAAAATCTAATAGAAAATCTTTTTAATGTGTCCATGGTTTTCTTTGACTTTAGAAACACTTTCATCAGCTAGCATCAATCATCATCATGTATTTTTCTTAATAAATTTTATGAAACACTATATTATATTCTAAAGAAAAATAGCACATGTAGTAACTTACATAGATTAATATAAAACAAATATCACTAGACATGAAAAAAATTATCAAAACTATAAAATAGACTTATAGATTATTTTTGAGTCATCTCTGTCTGTTGTTTATGTTATTTGATTATATAAAACTATGTAAAACTTTTGAGAATTACCCCTTTTATCTGAAGGTTATGTTTCTTTTATCAAAAATTTAATTTTTTTTTTCCTAAGGTAAAATGGCTTGTGAATTATGACTGAAAAAATATTGGGGTTTTTTTCTTATCTTGTTTATTTTCTTGATTGAATATATTTGCTGATGAGTGACACATCTTCAAATTTATCAACTAAGCTCGTATTTCCACCTTCCTATTATGTTCCCCTTTTCCTAAATTACAATTCCACAAAAGCAAGCACATTAAATGTACTTTTTTCTCCAGTATTTACCATTTGTTGCAGACTTCAACCTGCATTAAACTTTAATTTTTCAAGTGTTTATGTATATTAAAAAATAAGTCAGAATTTCCTTACATATAGATTAAACTTGCTAACAGAGATTTTCTAGGTAAAGGCTAGAAGTCCCTTCAAAGATACAGTAAAGCAAAAGGAGACTGCTCCCTAGATAGGTCTTTTCAGAATCTTCAGTAGGTCTCAGGTAGTTGCATGAAAAGGAAAGGTAACCCCGAAGCTCATGTGTTCTAAAAATAATATTGAAGATTCTGGATTATATTCAGTGAAGGAGATTCCACTTCGACTTAACTCATTCTGCTGCTGCTGTTTGGATGGATTTGGCTGGGTAGGTTTGGGTCAGGTTTGGCTGGGTTTGGTAAGTGGCACAGGTGAGGGCACAGGCGAGATCAATACCAGCTGGATGTGACACATCAAAAGAAATGTTTGTTTTTTTTTTCCCCTGGTGTAACTTTTACAACTCCAGTACACATATCTTTGTTGTTGTTGCTCTTGTTGTTAAAAGGAAGATTTATTAATAACTTTTAAGAATTTTACAAGATAAATGACCTAATATCCCATCCCCCTAACCTTACTAGTTGCATGTTTAGTTGATTCCTTCCACTTCTTGTCATGTGCATGTTACACCGTTGCATCCAGCATGTACAAAGTCCGTAACAGTGGTGAAGGTAAAATACTCCATTCACTCAAAACTTGTGTGTGTGTTGGGGGGGGGCATATAAACACCTAGGGGAGTTAAATGCCTGCACCTAATTTTGAAGCTCTAAATTCCACATGCACCTGCACATCCTGCTCATAAATGCCTACCAGGTTCAGCGGCCCCCATTTGTCCATTTAGCTGTTCTTGCATTCTTGGTTTTCCATGCTTTTACAAAAAGTAGTATTGAGTTCTTTGTCAAGACTAACTTGAAAAGCCTTCCAAGTGAGAAAATTACAATCTGCAGGGATTTAAAGCAGTGATTTTCAACGGCTGTTCTCTGGAGTACCAGGCTTCTGGGGTTATGCCTCAGGGGGTCCCCGGCCCACTGCTGCAGAAGGACTGTCGCTCTTCCTCTCTCCTAAGACCCAGCACTCAAGTCTGCTCAATCTTGTACTTTGGATAATTTCTTATTTTTTTTTTATTTTTAAAAAGGTCATGGTGGCTAAAACGAACATTTAAATATCTTGAATTTTCATGATGGTTTATGGTACCAAAAACTCCATTTGCAGATATGCTATAGTATCTTCAACAAGGTTCCTTGTGGACTAGATTCTCATGCCTTGGGGCTCATTAGGACTAGAGCAGTAATATATAAGGAAAACATAAAACTATAAATTTACCCAAAAAAATATGTGAACTGTTTATATCCCCGCCAACCCCAAGGAGAAGGTTAACATTATTTCACTGAGACTCTGAAACGATAAATAGCTGGGCTAACATCACATAGGGAATGAGTGAGGACCTGAGATGGAGCACAGGTCTCTGGCTCTCCTCCTCAAGAGCCCATCTCAAGCAGCTCTAAGGAGTGTGACAGCCATCATCCTATTTCTGACTAGAGAGCATCTTTGTTATCTACGAACTAAGACATTTCATGGAAAAAATGTTTTTTTTCTTGATCCTGAAAAATCCTCTTTCCTAAAGGTGGTTTTCAAAAAAGAATGGTGATGGACCAGAGGGTAGCAAAGGTAGACTGTGGCCATGATTTCTCTGTGAGTTGTAGATTTCAGCTCAGCACAATAGCGGTATGTGCAATATGCTTATGAATATCCACATAAGCCAGGCAACATCAGGGAGACAGAGCTAAACAAGCACAGTCATTGGAGTCTCAGACTGGTGTGCAGGGTAATATAGGCACATTTTTCGAGACAAGATGAAAATAAGGGGCTTAAGACCACACTGTAGTCTGGGAGTAAAGAGGAAGAAAGAGCATGCATCTAGTTTCAGGAAATGGAAGACAACAGAAGGAATTGGAGAGGTCTTCTAGCCAAAGGTGGCCTTTAGAGTGGGCTTTAAAGAATGGGTGATTTTTCTATAAGCATATAGGGAGAGGAGTTTTCCAACAGTGGAAATAGGGATAGGAATAGGAAGGGCATGTTTGAGGACTAGCAAGAGCCCCAATTTAGACAGAGCATCACGTGCTTGCTGAAAGGAAATGTGGGCAGAAATGGAAGGCTGGTTTGAGTTAGACCACAGCGGTTGCAGAAGCTCAGGGTTAGCAGTCCACAATTGTGGTTTGCCTTCAAAAAGAATAGCTGAACTCTCTGAGGGAAACCTCAAGAGCAGACAAAAGCTTGGCATGTGGGAACCTTAGGTATGCTCATGCTTAACGGGAGGGTGATGAGTCAGAGGATCAGGAAAAGAGACTACATTGTAGAGGAAAGAGAACATCTTACTAAACTGAGACTCCTGATGGCAGGGCCTGGGCCCCACTCAGGTTTGCAACCCAGCACTTCACCCCATGTTGAGCATGGAGCACGGATCACCAAACGAGCTTTAGTAACAGATGCTGGCCATGTGAAGGAATGGAATAGAACAGGCTGGATGGAGGCAGTCAGGAGAGCACAGGCAGGAAAGAAGGAGGGACTGTAAATGGATTCACGTGCTGCAGAACGCTCCAGAGGGATAAGGCTCAGGAGGGGTTGGCGGGGTGGGCTGTGAGCTGCCCAAGTACTGTAGCCACTGGCAGAACAGATTCAAGACGTATTGCTTTGCGTATAGAGTCTGGACTGCGAAGAGTTAAGGAGAAAGCAACGGAGGGAGGAAGGAAGGCCAAACAGCATGTAGCAACAGCTTAAATGAATTTGGCACCTCTACTTTGAGTGTTGAATATTCTTTTTGAAGTCAGTGATGGAATATAATTGAACTGGGTCAAATAGATATAATTAAGCTGGATCAAAATATAAGACAAAATTAGATACATCTGTCCTCAGGCTTTCCAGTTGTGTAGATTTAACTTAAATTCTTGTCTGACCTTTGCAGGGAGTTCTACACTCTGTGCTCACATTTTTACACAACAATTTAACATCTTTTTTATTGTTGGGTTTTTCTTTTTTACCACACTACTTTTTCTTTTTCTTTTTCTGTCTCTATCTCCTTGTCATATTTCCATTTCCTTTTTGAAGGCTGGGAGACAGAGGGGGAATAAAATGCAACCTAATCTTGCCTCAGTGATGGTTTGGGGGACAGTGTACAGGACGATGGATGCTTGAAGATCTGTTGACGATTGTTTAATTGAATCTGCCCGTTATGGCACCCAAAGTGGGCAGCAGGCATTAGCCCTCCAGCAAAAAACTCCAGTGATTCCCAGACTGAAATGATCATTAGAAACATCTGGTGGATATAGTTTTTACATAGTGTCTGAGCTTCTCCCCAAATTCTGATTCAGTGGCTTAGGTCCAGGAATCTGTTTTTGCCCACATTTCCCAGGTGGTTCTGATGATCAGCCAGTTTGGGAACCACATTTAACTAACGCATCCAAGTGAAGCATTAATCCACCCCAGTGTTTGGAACAGTGGAGCTGACCGAGCAAACTTTTGAGTTCCCAGATCCAGAGCTGAAGTGTCCGGAATTGGTCACAGAAGACTCCTTTTAGTTTTCGGTTCCCTACTTTTCCCTTGCCAGGCAGGCGGTATAGAGTTAGCCATAAATGAGAACTCTGACTCTATAGAGTGACATACGTCCTCAGTCCTTCATACAGTATCCACTTTGGAGTAGAAGGTCTCCAAGACAGGTAGAAGTTCCAGTGGATTAAAATCTATGCAAGGGCACCTTGCTTCAGAGAAACTCTGTCACAGCAAACAACTCCATCTATCAAAACGTTCCTCTGGGGTCTGAGTAGATATTTCTCCAAAGATAAACAAATGATCAATAAGCACAGGAAAAAACATTCACTGTCATTAGCCAAGAGGGAAATGCACGTCAAAGCCACCATGAGATAGCACTTCACAATAAAAATAATAAAATGTGTTGGTGAGGATGTGAAGAAATTGGAACCTTCCTACACTGCCAGTGGGAATGTAAAATGGTGCAGATGCTTTGGAAAACAGTTTGGCAGTTCCTCAGATGTTAAACATAAAGTTACCCTATGACCCAATGATTCCACTCCTAGGTACATCCCAAGAGAAATGAAAACGAAGGTCCACCCATAAACTGGTACATAAATATTCACAGTAGCATTTTTTTAAAGACTTTATTTATTTATTTGACAGAGAGAGACACAGCAAGAGAGGGAACACAAGCAGGGGGAGTGGGAGAGGGAGAAGCAGGCTCCCCGCTGAGCAGGGAGCCCGATGTGGGGCTCGATCCCAGGACCCTGGGATCATGACCTGAGCTGAAGGCAGACACTTAATGACTGAGACACCCAGGCGCCCCTCACAGTAGCATTATTCATAATAGCCAAAAGGAGGGAACAACACAAATGTCCATCAAGTCATGAATGGACACATAAAGTATGGTATATCCATTCACTTGAATATTACTGAGTGGTAAAAAGTCAAGTATTGATGGAGGGATAACTTGAAATCATTCTGCTTAGTGAAAAAAAGCCAGCCACAAAAGAGCACATATTGTGGAATTCCATTTATGGGGAATGTCTAGATTAGGCAAATCTACAGAGATAGTTCACTAGTGGTCGTCTGGCCCTGGGGGTGTTGGGAAGAAATGGGGAGCAATTGCTTATGGGTACAAATTTTTTTGAAGGATAAGATGTTTTAAAATTGATGATGGTGATGATTTTACAACAATGGCAATATACTACATATCATTGAATACTTGAGATGGGTGAATTGTGTGGCATGTGAATTATATCACAATAAAGCCATTACAAAAAAAAAAGCTTCTTTTAGAAAATCTGATTTCTTGCTGCTGGTTAATTCTGAAGCCATTCCATCCACTCAAAATAGATAATTTTTCTTCTTTGCCTGACTAATCCACTTTTTTAAAATTTATTTTTATTGAGGCATAGTTTACATGTGCTGAAATGGACAGGGCTTGAGTGTATATTTCAGTCAATTTTGACCAATGCCACACTCTGTTAAGACAGGATATTTCACTCCAGAGTTCCAGCATACCTGTTCTCTGTCAATCCCCTCTCCCTGACCAACACCCAGAAACAACTACTGATCAGATCTGATTTGTATCTCAAAGATTAATTTAGCTAATCTATAGTCTTGAACTTCATATAAATGGAGTTATAGAGTATATGATTGTTTATCTTTTTCTCATTCAACATAATGTTTTTTGGATCCACCCATATTATTACATGTATCATAGTGTGTTCCCTTTTTTGCTAAATACTCTTTTTTTTAAGATTTTATTTATTTATTTGACAGAGAGAGAGAGACAGAAGAGAGGGAACACAAGCAGGGGGGGTGGGAGAGGGAGAAGCAGGCTTCCTGCGGAGCAGGGAACCCGATGCGGGGCTCGATCCCAGGACCCCGGGATCATGACCTGAGCCGAAGGCCGATGCTTAACAACTGAGCCACCCAGGTGCCCCTTTGCTGAATACTCTTATTGTGGGACAGTTTTCGTATCCATTCTCCTGTTGATGATCACGCAGGCTACTTCCAGTTTTTGGCTACTATGAGTAAACATGCTGTGAACATTCTTGTAGAATCTTTTCGTGCATCCGTTCTCTTTTCTAAATACCAAAGAGTAGACTTGCTGAGTCAGTTATATGCAGCTTTTCAAGAAACTGTCAAATAGTTTTCCAAATGGGATGTACTATTTTCCATTTCTACCAGCAGTCTAGAGTGCTCAGGTGTAACACATCTTTTCCGAAACTTAACATTGTCAATTTTTTCCTTTCAGCTCTTTTAGTGACTATGGGATGTTTTCTCCTTGTGGCTTTAATTTGCATTTCCATGATAACTGATAATGTTGGATGCTTTTGCACGTGCTTATTGAATATTCCCTTAGCATTTTTAGAATATATTATCCACTCAAGTCTTTTATCCATTCTTACTTGTAGGAGTTCCTTGTAGGTGTTCTGGATACCTGTCATTCACGAGATAATAGCTTGCAAATGTTTTGACTCACTCAGTGCCTTGCCTCTTTATTTCTTGTTTTTGCATGAACAGAAGTTTTAAATTTTGTTGAAGGGCAATTTATTATTGTTTTTCTTTTGTACTAAGTGCATGCTATCTCCTCTTTAAGAAATTATGGCCCACCCCAAGGTCCTGAAGACATTCTACTGTTTCCTTCTGGAAGTTCTAGAAATTTAAGCTTCACATTAGACCAGTGACCAATCCTGAACTAATCTTTATTTATTTTATTAGCAAGGTGGTTTTTTTTTTTTTCATGCATTATCAACTTGTTCTAGCACAGGTAGATTGCTTGAATGCCATTATCAGAAATCAACTCACTGTAATATGTTTGGCTTTCTATTCTCCCCCATTGATTTATTGATCCTTTTCACCAAGTAATACCAAACTATGACAAATAATAAATCTTAAAGTCAAGAAGAGCAAGTCCTTAAAATTTGTTGTTCTTTTTCAAGATTTTGTTGACCACTCCAGTTCCTTTCTTTTTCTAAATTAATTTTGTAATCCGCTTTCAATTGCTACAAAATCGCCTTGCTGGGATATTGATTATAATGATATAAAATCCAAAGTTCAGTTTGAGGAGAATTGACATCTAAACAATATTGATTCTTCTTACCTATGAGTATGGTATATCTTTCCATTTGTTTAGATATTCTTTGATTTCACTCAGCAGTGTCATATAGTTTTTAGGGATCTTGCATATCTTTTGCTAAATATATCATTAAGCATTTTATATTTTGACCATAACAGCTTTTTTATGCTTATTGTTTTTATGGCATATGTTTCCCCATCCTGTCTGTGCCTTTATCTTTACAGTGTATTTCTTGTAAACAACATGTAGTTGGCCCCAGCTTTTTCATCCAAGATGATAATATCTACCTTTTAATTGGAGTCGTTAGCCCATTTACATTTAATTATTGTTTGTATCTGAGCCTATCTTGACGTTGATTTCTATTTGTTGTATTTGCCCTTTGTTTTTCTCTTAACGTCTTCATGCCTTTTGATTAAATATAATAATTTTGGTATTCTCTTTGATCTTTTCCTTTTTTTAAAAAAAAACTTCTTTTTTTTAAAGATTTTATTTATTTGAGAGAATGAGAGAGAGAGAGAGTGTACATGGGAGGGGGGAAGGTCAGAGAGAGAAGCAGACTCCCTGCTGAGCAGGGAGCCCGATGCGGGACTCGATCCCGGGACTCGATCCCGGGACTCCAGGATCATGACCTGAGCCGAAGGCAGTCGCTCAACCAACTGAGCCACCCAGGCGCCCCTCTTTGATCTTTTCTGTCGGCTTTTTAGTTCTGCCTCTTCATGCTTATTGTAGAGATTACAGGATACATCTTCAACTTATTAGAATCGATCTTCAACATGTATTCTTCATTTCATGAAGAATTAAAGACTCTTGTCACAGATCCTTCCCCTCTTGTGCTCTTGTATGTTTTGCTTCTACATCTGCTAGAAACTCCCCATTGCAATGTGTGGTGGCCTTTTCCTTTACTTTAAACTCTCAGTGTGTGTGTGTGTGTAATTTAAATAGATATTTTCTATTTGTGGACATATTTGCTGGCTCTGGTGTCCCCCGTTCCTTCTTCACAACTAGGTGTCTTTGGTATCATTTCACTTCCGCATGGACTTCCCTGCAGAGAGGACTTGGATGGCATCTTATGCTTCTAGCATCGCATCTCCAGTGTCCAGCATAGAGCTGGGCATGAAATATCAGCTTAGGAACTTTGACTTTTTTTTTTTTTGTACTGATGCTAATTCAGTAATTATATGCAGTGCGTCTCCTGCATTGTAGCATCAGGCAGGAACAGCAGGAATGGGGATGGGGTCTTGGGGGCAGAGAGGCACAGAGGGATGACATAGGGCACATCAATATTGGGGGGACATTAGAACATGTTCTCTTCTGCAAGGAGTATATAATGGTATTGGGGAGAGACACAAGCACGTTGAGCAGAGACAATAGTACGGGTAGTACAGAAGCCTGGAAGAGAATGGAGAGCAAGTGGCGGGCTCACCAGAAAAGAAAGTGCAGCTTCTAGAGTTAGGGCAAAGAAATGTTTCTTGGCAGATAGTAACTGAGAAATGTTCTTCTTATAAGACAAATCCACCTTTATGAGCATGATAGGAATACCAAGAACAATAATAGTGGTCATGGGGTGGGGGTGGGGGCTAGTTAGGAAGGAAATTCTAAAGCCTCCAAGCCACTCATTATACTCGCAGAAAGGCTCTGGATATTGTGACCTATTAGGACTACAGCTTCCTACTTCTTGAAACAAGGAGGAGTGTCAGATGAGCCCCTCAGCTGGGATGATTTTGATGACGCAGGCTGCCTCCTGTCACTACTGAGCTTTTCTTTCTTTCCTTTTTTTTTTAATTAAGTTTTTTATTTTAATCCCAGTATAGTTAACATACAGTGTTATGTTGTTTCAGGTGCACAATCTAGTGACTCAACTCAGCTCTTCTTTCATCCCTCCCATCTCTGGTACCCTCACTTCTGCTAAGGTTGTTCAGAGGAGGCTAGATAATCTTGGGAGAGGAAAGGGGTAAAATAAGAGACGTTTTCTGGTCACTTTACAGATGAAACAAACAAACAAAAAAACAACAGAACAGAACAGGCCTGGAAAGCAATTACTATTTATGCCAACACGGAGATTCAGTCACAGCGAGTCATTAAATTTCCAGCACTTTCTCTCTCTCTCTCTCTCTCTTTTTTTTTTTTTTTAGATTTTATTTATTTATTTGACAGAGAAAAACACAGCGAGAGAGGAAACACAAGCAGGGAGAGTGGGAAAGGGAGAAGCAGGGAGCCCAATGCGGGATTCAATCCCAGGACCCTGGGATCATGACCTGAGCTGAAGGCAGACGCTTAATGACTGAGCCACCCAGGCGCCCCAGCACTTTCTCTTTTTAAATGCTTTTGATCTATGTCAACATCCCATTATGACCCTCCAGGCCATAGTCCCTACAAGACTATACAGGGAGGCGACAGGGCTCTTGTCAGTGTCCCTTCCTTTACCAAGAAGTAATCGGAGAGCCAGAGAGATGAATGGATTGGGCCTTGAAGTCTCATATTCACTTAATTTTTTTCTAAGATTTTATTTATTTATTTGACAGAGAGAGAGAGACGGCGAGAGAGGGAACACAAGCAGGAGGAGTGGGAGAGGGAGAAGCAGGCTTCCCGCCGAGCAGGGAGCCTGATGCGGGGCTTGATCCCAGGACCCTGAGATCATGACCTGAGCAAAGGCAGACGCTTAACCATCTGAGCCACCCAGGCGCCCCAAACTCTATATTCAGTGAGTGGCAGAGGTGACAGTAGGACCCGAGGCTCAAAACTCTCCGTCCTTGAAGTTCCCTCCTTCTTCCATGACATCACCGGGATCCCACAGCATGGGGATGAAATGGATGAGCCTTCCAGCAACCTCAGCCTTCCCTGCTTTTTGCAGGCCCTCATTCACTCTTCCATAGGAAAGGGCTCTGGTGCTGGAAGACTAATGTCCCTGTGCAAATAAATATGTCAGCCTAGTCACACATTTTCCAAAGGACCTTTGCAATTTTATGTGGTTTCTGCAAGCAGCTAGTATTCTGCTATAAATCATTGCCAACTTTATATCCCCAAATGTTAATCATAGATAATTAGTTATGTTTCTTAGTCTTTCCTGAAGGGGAGAAGGGTGGAGGGGTAAGGAAGTGGTGGGGCAGGAGAGCTAGGGATTTAATTTACGGCTGTGGCAAATCCTCTTCAGTGTGTATACAAGAGCTGCTGGGGTGTGAGAGTAGTATATCCTATTGGTGAAATGCCACGGCTTCCTTCAAAGCCAAACACATCTCCAAATAAATGGTGTCTTCTGCTTACATTATCTTCCATTAATTTGTTTGATTCTCTGTCAGATTTTCCGTACAGTTCTGAATAGGTTGTGAGGAGAAGGTATGCGTGTTCCCTGGCCCTTGTTGAGGACACAGTGTGTCCTTGGCCGATTTACAAAGATAAGAACCCTTTGATTTGACAGCCCTACTCTGGTTTGAGCCCCGCTGCCTGTGCCCTGGGGTATGTTCACCAAAGATGTTCCTTCCTGACAAACAAAGCACTCAGCCACCTTCCTCTCCATCCGCCCGCCCCGTGGAATGCGCGGCATTCTGCTTTCAGTAAACATCACAGGCCTCCACAGCAAAGCCTCCACCTGACCCCAGTGACACCAGAATCCTGACAGTTAATATCCACAGTCACTAGCAAATTGAGCCAAAGGAGGGTAAATAGGGCCCCTGTAAACAAAATGAATACGGCCTCACTATCTTCATTGATAAGAAGGTTATTTTTCCATTAAAAAATTCTAGGCACTTAGAATTCAGCGAGTTCTTGACAATGTATTCAAGGTCACAGTGCACATTATACATTTTCATACTTCGCACAACAGCAAGTCCAGAACAGGGTTTTAAATCATCACCTGGGAACGGCCCTGGATAGGCTTGTTCTGGGGCCCCTTGGAGAATTGGTTTCTAAATTGCCTGTGTAAATCACAGGGTGGGTTGTTTGTTTTTGTTTTGTTTTGTTTTGTTTTAACAGCTTCATTGTTAGACAACAGCAGCCCAGCTTGATGTAACCATTCTTCTCAATGGAGATAAAATCATTGACAATGATTAGAATTTTAGAATGTGATTCTTAGAGGAAACATCCCCGAGGGATTCACTGGCTACAACTGAAATAAGGCCTCATGTCCATCAGTAATACATCAGTACTATTATTGGTGGGCGTATCTATGTGTGTGTACCTTCGACTAAAGGTCAATCTTTGTGTTAAAAGTAGAAAAACAAAACCCATAATTCCGAGTTCCTGTTCCCTCAGCAGGTGCTTTAGAAGGTTGCCGATCAGTTAAATATCAGCGTGCCTTTTCAATCCACTAATTTTTCAAAATGTTTCTCTTTGACATCATGGCTACCAACTGAATCTGAATACAGAGAAAACCAGAAGTAAAGACCCCAAAGCCTCTTAAAGAGATAGTCCAGAAAACAAATGATAACAGCCTTAGGATTCGGATAGTCAACGTAGTTAGTGCAGTTTTTCACTCAACAAATATCCTAATAGTGTGTTAACCATACTGAAGAGACATTGAGGCTATAGATGAATAATGGATGATTTAAAAACACAAGTATTAATGAAAGGATGAATAGCCAATTTGATGGTAGATAAATATATATATATAAAAACAATAACAGTGAGAGAGGTTAACAGTATAGAAACTATTTGGAAGAAGAGCCAGAGGAGAGGATCCAGAAGTAATAGGATCTTCATTTCTTTCACTGCTTCCCAATACCCACATCCTCTACCACCTGGTCAATGTCCTCATATGTTCATTGAGTCATGACATATTTATTGAGTGTCTCCAATGGGTAGGACATATGGAGGCACTGAGGATAAGACTATAGACTCTGTCTCCAAAATCTTCCAATTCAAAGACAAGCAGAAAAATCATCATAAGACATAGTGTGGGAAGTAAATCATTCATCCAGGTATTTTATTCAGCAAATCTTTCTTGAGTATATACTATGTGCCAGGCATCATGCCAGGCCCTGGAGATTTAAGGTCACATGAAACAAAGCCAGAGTCCCATGGCCTAATGGGTCAGATTCTCATTAATTAGTCTTGGGTGTCTGGTCACATGGCTGGGGGATCAAAGTAGAATGAATCATGAACTTCCATAGGGATATGAGCCAATGCCAAATTAGGATTACAGAGTCCTTTTTCTATTTGAAAAAAACAAACAAACAAAAAAAAAACAGAGCAGATAGATTAGAGCTTCTCCCCAGTCAGCACTCTCCACCTTGCAAGTTGACCCCACATGTGACTTGAGTCCCTAGAAGGCCGGGACCATGCTGCCACTATCAAGGGCCTAGTTGATAGCTGGATGAAGAAGTGACTTCAGTTCCATGACAGGGGAAGAAGAAAAAAAAAAAAAAATAAGGCATCCAAGAAGACTAACAAATTATGGAAGAAAACGAGCCAACACATTTCTAGTCGGGATGAAGAAGGAATGATGAATTGGACTTCTCCGACCTGATCCCACCCCTGCTAAATGGGGCCATATGAAAAACGTTTTTAATAAGACACCAGGACATCTGCCAAAAGAAACGTTCTCCCAGAGAGGAAGGCTGGGACTGGGGGTCCTGTTTCACAGATCACTGCAGTGCTGTGAGAGGGTTCCTGTAAGACAGAGGGCTTCTCCACAGCCCCAACTCTGCCACCCCTGAGAGAGATGTGACACCACCCCATGTCACTCATCCAGCTCTTTGTGGTCACATCAGTGTCGGGGTTGAGTCGTATCAGAAAGTGTCAGCTCGCCTGGGGTAGAGAGCAAAGCTTGCCCATCTATGGCCGGTACCGCTTTTAGGCCACTCTCTTGGAGATGATCTTTTTGAAGCACTTAAGAAAGGGCTTCCATTTTTAAAAACTGACTGAAAGTTTTCTTCTTTTGTGTTAATCCCTAGAAGAATGGGTTTTTGTGTTTGTCTGGTCCTCATCTTCTAGCCACTTCATTTTAATTCCGTTTTGTCTAAAACTTCAAGTGGCAACTCACTCAGATGGAGCCACTGTGACAGCCGCAATCGGAAGGTTCCCTTTCCTGGTCTCCAAGTGTCTTCTTTACATACTACTTTATAATTACACTTGAAGAAGCTTACCCCCATGCCCCCCAGAATTTGGTCACAGTCTGTTTTTCTTTTCTTCCTCTTCAAATATCTCTCTCTCTAGGAAATGGCCTTTTTTAGCTTCTGATTTTTCAGCGCATTCGTCAAAGGAGGGAAAGGATTTGAGGGAATGAGCTTTTTCTTTTTCATTGTTTTCTAGGACCTTCATGTTGCATTTTTGTCACACGTTCTCTTCCCAGACTTTCTTTTTACTCAGAAATTGCCCTGAAATTCTGTTCACTGAAATACTCTCCTCAGTTACAGGCTTCCTAACTTATGAGGTTTTAAAGGTTTCTGTTTAAGACACCCATATCCCTTTGAGAGAAGTTTGGGAGACAGGAAAGGATAGGCTGTGAAGTCATTAATATCATGCGTAACACTGTACCTGAGAATTTTCCAGAAACAGTGGAAGAGTAGAAAAAGATAAAGGAGTAATCTAGCTTCCCAGGCTAGGTTCTGTACTGTAACCTAGTAGGTCTCCGTCATGTTCCTCATGATGCACTCATGAGTGTCATACCCGACATAACTCTATCCTACCTTTCCATGAGTGGGGTCTGCTGAGAGAATTCACTACCTTAGGACTTGGATTTTTGAAAATGAATTTTTAGGAGGTGACATCCATCCCCCTTTTCCATTAGCAGTGCCTTTGTTTGGGATGGAGATTAATTTCCTTATTAGCCCAGGCATGTAACCTATTTTATAGGTATTGGGAGATAAAACCTAATCTTTACCACCATTTGACTTCCACCCACCAACTTCCACAAAATACTCCTGGGGACAAGAATATATATTGGCTACAGGGATGCAATGTGAAAGTGGGAATTAAGAGCTAAGGAAATGCTTCCGTGGCTGTTAGAATATGTTCTTTATTTACGTAAACCTGTGTGTGTCACTGATTCTTGTGGGTAGTGTTTATAGTCAAGATCAGTGTTGAACAGTACAAGTGTCTTTAAAATGAACCTCCTGTTGGGGGTGCCTGGCTGGCTCAGTCAGTAGAACATGCAAGTCCTGATCTTGAGGTCATCAGTTCAAGCCCCCACATTGGGTGTAGAGCTTACTAAAAATAAATAAATAAATAGACAAACAAATAAACAAATAAATAAAATGAACGTCCTGTATTTCTTTAGTTCGCATTCAGTGATCAATCTCAGTGCTTTCTCCGTGTCTTTGTGTTCCAGAAAGATACATCTCTGTCATGGCTCTGCAGGATTATCTAATATTTTAAGCTTATTTGTTTCTATGGTAATATAAGGGGGACTATTTTTCCCACCTATACTCAGATTCCCAGATTTTTAGTCATAACAGAACTATTCAGTAGCTTCTCCTATAAAACGGGGCCCCCCAAAGACAATATTGATGCCTTCTATCACCCACTTAATCACTTGGCACATAATAGGTGTGCAAAAAGTATGTCCTACATGAATGAGTAAAGTGCCCTCAGTGATTCCAACGTGTTTGGTGTAACGTGTGCAGACAGATGGATGACTGGCTTGAACTGAGTCGTGGACAGAAGTTGTCTCAGGTTCCTTTCCTAGCAGCTTATAAAAAAAAAAAAAAAAAAAAAGAGTAAAGACCAAATCTGCAGGAATTAAACAGGACTTTCTAGCAGGTAGAACGGAATGCTGATCTTCTTTCCAAGCCATTTGTAAACATCATCCCTCTGTGTCTTTTTGTTTCCCTTCTGCTCAGATGCCCAGCCCACAGAAGGAGAGAGGGAAATATGGAACCAGATCAGCGCCGTCCTCCAGGATTCTGAGAGCATCCTCGCAGACCTGCAGGCTTACAAGGGCGCAGGGCCAGAGATCCGAGATGTATGCCAATGATAACACTGAGCTGACAACACCCTCGGACGAGAAGGGAAACCACACATGCACACACACCCAGCAAGATTAAGTAATAGCCCTAGTATTTCCTTGTGTACTAGGAAGAACAAGGAGGGTAATGTGGTTTTCACGAAGTATGAATGGCCCCTTTTATTCTAGTACATTAATCTGAGCACACGGTGCTGTAGACTGTGTAAAACATTAGCCATTCTCGTCTCAATCATACATTTGATAGCACAGGACTGACATTCAAACAGTGATTCCGCAGCATATTACTTCATGGAAGGGAAACATACATATAAAGTCTAGGACAACAGTTGAAATATAAGTCATGAGAAAAGAAAAAAAAAACAAAACTGTAAATCATGAGGTCTGGGTTTGCATGAATTTCTCAGCATTTTGTAATAATCTTGGCAGGTCCCACAGTGTCACAAAGATCAGCCATAAACTAGGTTGCTTTAAGTAGCCTGCGGGTCTGCCATCTTGAAATGACTTTGAGCTTAAAAAAAGAAATCCCTGAAAAACAAAACAAAAAAGAAGATTGTCAGCGTCTTTTAAGACTTAATAATGCCTTAAAGGCAAGAAACTTCACACACCTTTTTTTGAAATAATTAGTTTTGTGGAAGTATTAACACATACACACATGTGCACATCTATACGCACTTACAGGCACACCCCACTTGCCACTGTTGCCATCTTTCTGGAAGAAAACCCACTAACAGAATCTGTAAGCTGCTGAAACCCAGACAAAACAACATTTCCAAGAATGTGACAGCCTCTTAAGAGGTGGTCTTTCTACTTAGGGATCGCCATTGATTTAGATAATTTAGGTCACAGAACGGAAGGCACGTAATACATATTATAGAGAAAGGAAGATGTCTACGGGATCCCCACTTCCTAATGAGCTCTGGCTCTACTTTAGTAGAATCAAAATGTGGTGGAGGAAGGCTGAATGGCTTCCAATTAGATTTGCAATTTTTTGCACTTAAAATAAGAGAAACAAGATGGCACAGGATCTAATTGTAGGGTCATTTACATTATGTTCAAGGGCTGAAATCTCCATTCTAACTGAGCGTCTTGGAGGACAGTCTGGTGAACTGATGTCAGTTTACGAGCACATTAGGGAAGTCTATCAGGCACTGTATTTTCTTAAACTAAAATCCCTTCTCAATCTTAAGGCATTTTGATGTGGAGCTTATTGCTTCTTTTTAAACAGACAATTTTATCTTGTTTTTGTAGGCGATTCAGAATCCCAACGACATTCAGCTTCAAGAAAAAGCTTGGAATGCAGTATGTCCTCTGGTTGTGAGGCTAAAGAGATTTTATGAATTCTCCATAAGGCTAGGTGAGTACGTGTTTATGGTTTTCATCCCACATATGAAGCTCTGTTACAGAGTTTGCTTAAGGAGCAGAAAGGGATAGCTCAGTGCTTTGGGGAATGGGCCACATCGATCTGCAGTGTTTTAGGAGAGGCCATTCGTGGACAGAAGCACCTGTCATTTTCATTTCTTTAAATTCATCTCAGAGTTCCCTGCCCTGCAGTTACCTGCACATTGAGCATGTCTCTACTGGTAGATATACTGTGGTCTTGTTCGCAGCTAACAGTTTTGTTGTGGGCTGATCACATTTCTAAATGACGGAGAAGTTGAAATGAACAGGTTACCTGCTAACCCCAAAATCTTGATTTGCTGGAGACATGTGATAAATTTAATATAGTAAAATATGGGAAAAACAAACAATATTCTGCCCTTAAGCTTTAAAAACAACCTGTACGGGTACGGGATGGCTTTGCAGAGGCAAGAGTAAAGTTGAGTCTGGTTAACAATTGGCTCGATGTGACCACCTGTATGATCTAACCACTCCCCCAAGAGTAAAGCTGTCTGAGGTTTCATTAGTTAATACAGCTAGAACGAGGAAAGGGATAGTCATGTTTACTTTTGCTGTAAACGAATGTCACATTTTAAGAGTTAAACAGAGAAACTGAAATACTTTAGGGGAATAATAGTTATGGTGTAGAGAGAACTTGAAGCTAAGACCCAAAGGGAATGGTTGAATGAACTAAAATAGTCTTTCAAGAAAAGAGAGCTTCTGGAGACTCTCGGTTAGCTTCTCCCTATTTCCTCCTTCTCTGTTTCTTCAAAGTGTAAATCTAGACCCAATGAACTGAAATCCTAGTGAGTCAGATTTTTAACAGAAGGACCAAGATCCACCTGTCAGAGCAGACCAAGGTAGAACTGGCTACCTCAGAAGGCAGTACATCCCCATAAATGGAAAAGGCAAGAGATGTCCTTGTAAAGATGCTATAAAAGACAATTAAGGACTGTAGATCAGGTGCATAGCACACTTGTCTGTAAAGAGCAGATAAGGAAGGAAATATTTTAGGCTTGGGGGCCGCCCTGTCTTTGTTGCAGCCACCCAACACTGCCATTGTAGCACATTAGTAGCCATAGTCAATACATTAAGGAATGGAAATAAAGTGGGGCTGCGCTATGTGTTAATAAAACTTTATTTGTGAAAATTGACCGTGGGCCAGGTTTGGCCTTTGTGCCATCGTTGGCTAACCCCGCTGTAGAGGATTGGTTAAATGAGTCAGTATTGTTAGAAATATGTTGAAGGGAAAACAGGAGGGAAGGTTTAGGGCTAGACAAGAAGGAGTAATGAGACTGTTTCAAGGGCAGTAATGGTGGTCGATAGGGCAGTGGGTTGGCAGAAAAGTACCACACAGTCTCATGGACAGGATCCAAAAACTTGTGTCTGGTTTCCAAACAGTGGTCGGAGTTGGCACTATGGAACACTGAGAGTTGAGCTGAGCTCTGAGAGACATGGGCAAAACTGTGTGGCCCTGGGTGGGGGTCTTCCACAGGTTGTGGGGGGCAGCCTGCTCGGGCCTGATGGGCTCCTTCTCCTTCCTGCACGTGTCGCACTGTACATGACTATGGGAAAAGACGTGGAGAAGAAAGACTCAAGCAGGTTATCTCTGAGAATGTCAATGGGGCCTAAGAACTGTGCTTTTAGAATGATCTCTGTGGGCCACCTCAGATATGTATTTATCACTTTGACTTTCAGAGAAAGCTCTTCAGAGTTTATTAGAGTCTCTGACCTGTCCACCCTACACGCCAACCCAGCACCTGGAACGGGAGCAGGCCCTGGCAAAGGAGTTCGCAGAAATTCTCCATTTTACCCTGCGATTTGATGAGCTGAAGGTTAGACCACACACGATAAGACAGTTTAACAGACGTGTCCTGGGGACCTACTGTGTGCCAGCACTCTGCTAATGCCGTGGGGCGGGGAATAGATGAGTAGGATGTAGCTCCTTCCCTACAGAGACATAAAATGCGGTGAGAATTTGCATTCCTTATAGTCAACGTGATGTAGGATGGCGGTTTGTGCATGGAAATTCAAAATCTGCCAAATTCAAGAAGAGGAAACCTTTTCAAAGTGTCTGTCCTGGGTGAGAACAAGTATTCTTTCCCTGCAATCTGGGTGATAGGAAAAGCAGGGCCTATATTAAAACAATGAGGCTCTGAGTATTTATTTTTAACCAGAAGTTACTTTGATTATTGTGTCACCAAGAGATGTCCTGGTTTATTTACCGAGTCTAGAGTTTGGGCTCCTAATGCATATCCTCTCTGTGATGGGGAGCGATGACCTTCTTTCTTCTCTTCTGAATTTCAGATGAGGAACCCAGCTATTCAGAACGACTTCAGCTACTACAGAAGGACAATAAGTCGCAACCGCATCAACAACATGCATGTGAGCCCCTGAGTCTCCTGGTCTGTACACCCATTCTCCACGTCATCCTTTGACGGCTGCATCAGGCAGGGCCCGGGGAAAGGACAGCCTTCATCTGTGATTCTGTTTCCAGCAGACACTGTTTGGGGACTTTTGACCCTGTCTTTATCAATTGTGTCTTCTCTCCTTATTTTCATCAGCTAGACATTGAGAATGAAGTCAATAATGAGATGGCCAATCGAATGTCCCTCTTCTATGCAGAAGCCACACCAATGCTGAAAACCCTTAGCAATGCCACCATGCACTTTGTCTCCGAAGTAAGTGAGGCTGAGCACTGAGGTGCTTTTTTTCTTAACTGCACAGAAAAGCTGCTAGAAGGGCTAATATACTTTTGTGTCTTCCATTTAGAACAAAACCCTGCCAATAGAGAACACGACAGACTGCCTCAGTACGATGACAAGTGTTTGTAAAGTCATGCTGGAAACGCCGTAAGTGAGATCAGAGGCAGATTCATGGTCTAGAGGTCATGTGGAGAGAGCTTGTTAATATGATGTTGTTGATGATGATGATGATGATATTGATGATGATGGTGGTGGTGGTGGTGGTGGTGTTAACATTTGGGTCAGCACATTGACATTTACAGGTATATTATCTGAATTAGTTGTATAAAGAACTCTGGGTGATAAATGTAATCAGCCCCCTTGTAGAGTTGAAGAAACTGAGGTTCAAACTGGTTAACTGACTTCCCAAAGGTTGAGTAGTTTGTTAGATGGCAAAACCAGGACTCAAACCAAAGATGCAGTAGAAGATGGGCAAGGGCCAAATGGAAGGCTGGATAAATGACTGGGTATTATTATTATTATTATTATTATTATTATTATAAGTATATTGGAGAAGAGATCTGGCAGAAGATTTAGAATGAAGAGCAGAAGGGGTAATATTGTTGCAAGAATGATAATGGAGTATCAGACTTCTGTCCCTCTTCCCTTCTCTTTTTCTCCCTTCCCTACCCTTCCCTTCTGACTCTGCCTGTCACAATAGTTTCTTTGTAATTAAACTAGTTGCTGGATTGTTAGAAGTGTCAAAGGTTGTTAATGGAGAGGCAGCGTGGTAATGAGGAAGTCCACACCCACAAGCCAGGGTTCCAGTTACCTCTTTAGCTACTTTTGTGCATGTAGACAGGTGGTATGGCCTGCAAGGCCTTGTTTCCTTCTCCTATGAGGTTCCCATAATGCCATCTATGCGGCAGAGGGCTTGGGAGGGCTAAAGACCTCAAAAGAGCCGTATGGAATGTGATCCTCTGTTCAAATGTAAGATGGTGTTAATTTCAAATATTTCACGTTTACCAAAGTTAAGATTTATTCCAAGACAGAAATAGTAATGGTCTTCATTGTGGGCCCAATTCATAATGAAATAGGTGTTAAGAAAGCCTCTAGAATTATCTTGAATTATCTGAATCATCAGGGACCCCATCAAGGTAAGTGAACAAAATTCAAACTCCACAAATACTCCCAGCCCCAGTGAATGGCACATAATTTCTTTTACGTATCTTTGCCAATCCAATTCAATCTGCAGCCTGTGTCTTAACAAAGGAAGTTACTCTGACTGGAGACATGATAGCCGCTCTGTAGAAATGAGCCTGGTTCTTTTTCTCCATAATGAAGCCATTATTCTCTATAATCTTGGACAGCCAGAGGGACCTGCTATGAAATATTCAAGATTGATGGGTGGGGGGATTGATGTCCATGACGAGCTGGCCCGCTGAAGGGCAGAAGAGAAGAGAATTTACTGCCCTCTAATTTACCTTATTTTCACACTGAATTGCTGGTTGGATAGATTCAAGGAGAATTATCATCATGGGCTTCCTTAAGAGCATATTACCCTGGTTGTTACAGGTCCAGGATTGTTCTCAGGAGATGATTGGAGGAGTCTAAAGTGGCCGGAAGTGGATCTGCTCCAGCAAGGACGTTAACGTGGCTGCCATTTCTTCTCTCTTCCAGGGAGTACAGGAGCAGGTTCACAAGCGAAGAAACGCTGATGTTCTGCATGAGGGTGATGGTGGGGGTCATCATTCTCTATGACCACGTTCACCCCGTGGGAGCGTTCAGCAAGACATCCAAGATTGATGTAAGAATAGTGACGAGCTCTGCTTTCCAAATAAGAGCTCGCATGAATGGGGCCAGACAGACCTTGATTATCTCTGTCTCTATCGCTCTCTAGCTCTCTCTTTCCTCCCTCCACTACTTGGAAGTGGGGATCTCTCCAAGATGCAAGCCCCCTCCCCATAGCAAGAAGTCCAGTCTTTTTCATGTGCTTACAAGCAAAACATCCAATCAAAAACCATAGCAGGAGCTCAGAGACACTAATCTCAGCCTGCAGAGAAGCTGAGCAGATGTGAAGAGTCACTTAGCTGCAAACTGCCCCTTCAGTTTGGGTACCCAATGTGCCATGTGAATATATAGATATTAACATGTCATATATGTCTTAAAGTAAACAGCATTGGGAGATACTGGATTACAAGACACCATGGTCAAATTTCAAACAACATTCCAACTTCCTCTCCTACCAACCCCCCCTGGTGGCTCTACCCGATGTCACTGGGATATGCTTGAGCCCCCTTCCCTGCCCAGAGGACCCTCCCTTCTTTCTGATGGGTGGATTCCTTTAAACCATTCCACAAATGTCACCTCATTCAGGAACACATCTCCTGTACCCTGCGTGGTCAGGACCTCCCTTCTCTGCTGGCTCCCAGAGCACTTACCATTTTGGATTTTCTGATTGCCTCGCAGACTCCAAGTTTGTTTGTAAGGGCAGAGACTATGATCTGTATACCCAACATCTGCTCTACCGCCTAACACCATACACGACATAGAGCATGACGCTCAATAGGTACTCCACAGTGTGTTTGCCGAATGAATGAATATAAATGGAAAACTCATGATTTTGGTGTGCAAGTGACTTCTGTTGATTGTAGCATAAAAGACATCTCCTCTTAGTCCTCATCTGCAGCATCATCCCCATAGTGTATCCTGTGTGTTCATATAAAGCCTTTTGGGCGCCTGGGTGGCTCAGTCAGTTAAGCGACTGCCTTCGGCTCAGGTCATGATCCTGGAGTCCCGGGATCGAGTCCCGCATCGGGCTCCCTGCTCGGCAAGGAAGCTGCTTCTCCCTCTGACCCTCCCCCCTCTCATGTACTCTCTCTCTCTCTCTCTCTCTCATTTTTACTCTCTCAAAATAAATAAATCTTTAAAAAATAAAATAAAATTCAAGCATCTTTAAATATATATATATATATAAGGCCTTTTAAGAGCACAGTAGGCCCCTTTGGGATTAACTCATTCTGACTGTGCTAAGTTTGGGGGGCACACCCTGTTCTCACTCATCTGCACAGAAAAGCCCCTCTGATACTTTAGTACTGTGCAGACAGAAAGTCTTCATGCCCAGAGGGACCATGAGTCTGAAGAGCGTTAAGGAAATTTATCAATTAAAGTGGAATTGGATTATTTATTTTTGAAGGTCTGGCTTCCTAGCACAGCTAGGCATGGTTCTTCATAGAGCCTTTATTATTATTTTTTTATTTTTTAGTATGATTTTGTTATTTTCTGTCTACCAAGAAAAAAAGTATTTAATATAAAAGAATTAGGAAAACATAAGAAGTCAAAATACAGAAAATTGGAATGTATCTTTCTATAGTAACCTTACCATAGGCGATGACCATGGTCAATATGGCTGCATATCTAACTCCCTTCCTTTTATATGTATGTTTGTGTATATGCATGTGTGTGTGTACATAACAGATCAGCACCCTGCTATAATTGTATTTTATTTGCATCACAGTATATCATGGAATTATTTTTGGACCAATGAACATTTTTACTATATTCTTTGTGAGTCTTTAACATTCTTATACTATGGATCAAATATAAATAACTCTATTAATAACTCCATGAACATCATTTGAATGTGGATTGAGTTTATTGTTTGGTGCCCACAGGACATTCTCATTGACCAGAGCCACTTGTTAACTTGTCACAGAGTCAACAATTAAAAATATACTGGGGACAACTATGGCTTGTATCCCTAACATTGTAAAAGCTTGTCCTTGCTGGTCATTTACTGAGTCTTTCTGTTGAGGTCATAGTCATTATATAATGTTAAATCTAACCACTCGTAGTCTTCATGAAATCTATTTGTTCCTCAGTCTCACTAGGAAAAGCTTGTTCATACTGAAGTGTGCATGTTTCTCTAAGAGAGTTTCAGGCTTACCAAACACAACACGTATTCAAGATGGGCCATTTCCTTTGACACCATAAAGGGGCGCCTTCAGATACCAGTCTGCTTCTAAGCCAGTACTGGTTTTATATATCCTTTAAGGATCATCAGCTGTAAAAAAAAAAAAAAAAAAAGAATCATCAGCTGTGAAAAAACAAATATTTATTTGTGAAGCCCTGAGATGCGTGTCATTCATAATATGCACTTACAGAGAACACACCCTGGAAACCCAGATGAGGGAGAAGCTTATTCTGCTTTGAGAAGAGACAGAGGGTGATGTTGGAGGTGGACCTTGGAGAAGGGCTAGGATTTTCCGAAGTGGACAGAGGGGAGGGGGAGGGCTCCTAGAGCAGTGAATTGTCGGAGCCACATCACTGAGGCCCAGAAGGGTTGGGTCACTGAGAGAAGAGATGCCATTCTTGGGTGCCAGAAAGCCCGGCTCTCTGTGTTCCTGATAGAATGCGGGCACTTATCAGAGAAACTTGGGGGTCTCTTCTACCACTAGACCATGAGTTCCACTGGGAAAGGGGCCAAATCTCTACATTCCTGGGCTGGAGCCCATTCTTGGACGTGAGCAGGCTCAGGATGGCACACACCTGGCATGTTTTAGGCTCTGCCTGTCCTGCACCCATGACAGACACCTCTGATAGACGATGACCTTCTTTCTTGACGAGCCTATAATGTGATCCTCAAATGACTCTCAACCCTGTGCTTCTGGTCACCTCCATCAATCTACCAGGGTCTATCAGGCCATAAGATAAAACTTCCTACACACCAGAAGTATACCCACAGAAAATATTTGAAAGAGACCATGATAAAAGAGGTCCTTGGTCTATCCAAATTCAATACAGAGCATGAACATCTGAGTTTAAAATGAGCGATTGTATTTTTTGCAGGAAGATACTTCTTTGTCAATGCATAATATAATGTGATCTATGTAAACCTAGTTTTCATGGACTTCCCAAATTATGAATAAATTATATTCCAAGGGCACAAAAAACTAAGAAATTTGCCCAGGTTCATCCAGGTACATAAGCAAAGATGGAGGAAACCAAAGCTGTCTACCCCAAAGTGGTTCATATTCTTCTTTTTTTTTTTTAAGATTTTATTTATTTATTTGACAGAGAGAGATACAGTGAGAGAGGGAACACAAGCAGGGGGAGTGGGAGAGGGAGAAGGCTTCCCGCGGAGCAGGGAGCCCAATGTGGGGCTTGATCCCAGGACCCTGGGATCATGACCCTGAGCTGAAGGCAGACACTTAAAGACTGAGCCACTCAGGTGCCCCAGTGGTTCATATTCTTCACCTCTGTCCTTCACCAGTCCCCTCCTAGTGAGGGAGCCAAGATAATTCAGGCACTAAAATCTCCAAGATCTCCAAGATCTTCTGAAAAATGCCAGCATGCTATCAGAAGCCCAAAGAGGTAGTGGTTACTTCCACCTGATGAAGGTAATGAGGTGCGCAGAGGCCTCCTGGTTTTGGTGATCTTTAGCTGTGTCCTAACAAAAAAAAAAAAAAAAAAAAAAAGCCAGTCAAACAGCTAAAGGAGGAATAGCATCCTGGAAAGAGGGATGGCATAAAATCATTGGGTTTGTAATTCATGCAGTCGGTGTCCACTGAGCAGCTACTGGGGGTGGGGGGGGCGGTGTGGGGAGCCCTACGCTTGGCTCTGGAGCACAAGACAAGATCACAGTCTCAAGTCTTTGGCCCCACATGGCAGACACATGAAATGTTTAATGGCAGTAGAGTACGAAAAGTGATACACAACTTCTAGAAGCGCCACGAAGAGCAACTCACTAACATGAAGGAGTAAGAAGGTCTGTTGGTCATTTCTGTATTTGATTTCTCTGGACAGAAATAACGTGATCTGATTAGGGACCGATGGTAGTATGAACGGATACGGTCATGGACACAGTTGCTAGGCTATTAACAAAATGTTGTGCTTTCTCCTCCCAGATGAAAGGCTGCATAAAGGTTTTGAAGGAACAGGCCCCGGACAGTGTGGAGGGGCTACTGAATGCCCTCAGGTAAGCCTCAGCCCTGCGACACTTCAGAGAGACTTCAAACTTAGATGCTGTTGGGGACCAGGCTCTAGAGCATCAGGCTTAACCCCGTGCATGTCTTCACACATTTAATCCTGCCAACAACCGGTTGAAGTCAGCACCATTTTTATCAGATGGAAGAAACTGAGATGTAGGGAAATGAAATAACTTGCCCAACGTCACACAGCACACGGCAGAGCTAGAACATACCCCTGGGTCTGGGTGACCACACACGCCGTGGGCCTGACTCCAGGCTGTGCTGCCTTGTGGTTAGTGGAGACTCATCAGAAGAAGCTTCCTGAGTTTCACTTGCCCCTTCACCTGCTGTACGTGAAAATTGTGGGTGGCTTTAGAAAACCCTGATGCTCAGGGTCCAACCCAACCGAATGCATTAGAGTCTCCAGGGTGGGGACACAGGTATCCACTCTGTGTTTGTTCTAAAGCTCCCTGGGTGACCTGCTCTACCCTGCCTGGATGCCCAAGTATTTGGCAACTATGGCTCATTTCAGCTTCTCACCGCTAACAGCTGATGCCCAAGCAGCCTCTCTTCCAAGGATACCCGTGCTTAATACACTCCAGAGAAGGGATTCTTATTTTTCAGCCATGACACATGTACAGGAATTTGTTAAATCATACTACCACGTAAATCATTCCACTGCTGGATTGCAATCTGGAAGGTTTATGGTCCTCGCTCTCTTATTCATCTTTGATTTTCCCAAGTCCCACTCACTGTTGTGCATGCAGTAAGTGTTCAATAAGTGTAAGTGGACTGGATCAATAATCTTCTGTGTACAATGCTCATGTCTTACATTCCACTCCCGAGTATGTTGTCTCATTTAATTATCACAACTCAAGAGAGGGAAGGTGATCTATTATCCCCATTTAATAAATGAAGAAACAGCCACACATTTAACGAATAAAACTGAGGTTGATGCTGTTTTGTGGAGCTGCTAGGTCATCATTCTTCAGAACAGATGTAGCATTAACAGAGTAGCCTTCCAGATTCCGTGTGTGAACCAAGCTTTTCTCCATTGGTGCCCATTTTCCAGCAGGCTGGCTTCCCGTACGCAGTAAGACTCTGGTGTCTGAATTTTTTTTTTTTTTTTTTAACTTTCCCGCCTCATTTAATCGAGCAAGGCTTTCGTGAAGAGCAGGGCACTGGGCTGAACAGTGAGTCCCATCCGAGTGTTGGCATCTGTGGTTTCTTGTAGGTATTGTGGTGAATGGCTTTTGAGGCAGACAGACTTGGGTCCAAATCAGGAGCCACAGATCCCTCACGAATCACACACATTGGCAGATTTGCGGTCTGAAATAGGTCATTTCACCCCTCCGATTCTCCGTTTTCTCACCTGTAAAATGGAGGCGGGAACCTCTTCCGCAAAGAGTTAGTGTGGGTGAAATGAGGACTTACACGAGTGTCCAGGACCTGGCAAGGTTTGATGACATGGTAATTCCCCTTTCCTTCCTTTTCATACGCCGTGCCTGCGCCAGGTTAATGTGAGGATGCAGACTGGGCTGCTCCTTATTTGGCTTGTTTACCTGCATTTGTGCCCCCTTGTGGTGGCAATGGGCATAAGCCTTCCCAGGAAAGTAGAAAACCATCAGCGTTGAAGTTTTGGGGGAATGTTGGGATGCAGATCCACATTCTGAAATTTGTAGCTCAGCAGAGGGAGCCTAGATGGTTGAAATGCTGCACTCCTTCACGTGAAGTCGACCTCCGCAGAAAATGTGATGGCTTCTATCTCCTCTGTATATTTATTTGATTAGATAAAAGGTCTACTTGTTGAATAACCACACTACAAAATTCCTTTAGGAAAAAGAATCAAATACTAAATCCATCTGAGACTACACTGGGGATCAAAGTGTGGTTATTTGTGTAAGGAATGAGCCCGAGTTTGATTTCTAAATAGCCATTGTGTCTCTCAAGGTAAAGATGGGCTGAGAGTCATCATGAAGCTTTGGCAGAGCACTGTTTCCACACTGACTCCCATTGCTTTCTCTCCATCCAGGTTCACTACCAAGCACTTGAATGATGAATCAACTTCCAAACAGATTCGAGCAATGCTTCAGTAGAGCTCTGCTCAAAGAAGAGGATCTATGTACTGACCTCAGAAGATGTATATGTTTACATAATTTAATACAGATTGATGTTAATACTTGTGTATTTACATAACCGTTTCCTTCTTGTCACTGAAATATATGGACTTTAATTTGTATCTTGACTGACTCGACCCAGCAGAGCATAAATTGACTTGAGAGCCTAACCTTTGATGTCTAAAACAAAACCCTCTTCTCCAAAGCCAAAATTTGGAGATGTTGGTCTTTACTACTGGAGTCCTTTAACTACACCTGTAACAATCCAAAATTCCCAATAGTTTGTGGTAGTGTTTTAATTCTAGATGTGTAATCTCTCTGGGAAGTTTACTTATAGAAACACGAAGTATTTGATTTCCTGTGTCGGCTTGGCTACAAGAAACACAACCGTTATCCTGACAGAGGGAGAGAGGAATCCAAGAAAAGAAAAATGCATGTGAAGATACAAACTCAAGTGTTTGGAATTCAGCACGCCCCCCACCTCTCTTCCCTCAGACTGCAAACCACATGTGCAGCTTTTTTGTTTGCACGTTATTTTATTTAGCGACATAGTCCCCTTCTCTCTGGATTTATATTCCTCTAACGTTCCCTTTTGATTCTGCAGGAGGAAAATCACCTGCGCTTGAATCCACTTGTAAGAAAGAAGTGAGAATAGATAGATGTGCTGTCATAGCTGAGCTGTGAAGGTGGTTGTCTTGGAAGTGGGGGACAGGCTGGGAGGAAGGACACACAGGCAACAGGACAGTCCTCTCTCCACTTCAACCCTCTGGCTTTGGGTAATTTTACTGACATTCCGGGTATCTGTGGGGTCCTGGGTGCCCAGCCGCCCTCCTGAAATGGGCCCTGCCCTTTGTGGGCTGATCATGTGGTGACAGAGGTCTCAGGTACTTCACTAATTTCCAGAAAACTGGGGACTCCAGAGGGAGGAAATGCTACATTTTCCAGTTCCCTAGTATTTAAAAGGTAGCTCCTCCCTGACCACATGGCTAGCTTGCTGCAATGTGTACAACTTTGGTCTGAGTACCTGGATTTAGTCCTAGCCTTATTGATCCACTATGTGGTCTTTGGAAATTCACTTAAGCTCTTTGTGTCTCACTTTCTTCATCTATAAAATGGGCAATTAGAACAGACAATCTCCAAGAGCCCTACAAGGCAACGAGCCAATAAAATGGCTGACTCTTACATGCTTCCTTAGGAAATAGAGTCCAGGAATCATCACCCCACCTTGTCTTGAAGATAGGACCAGGCCTAGAGTCATTCTGTCTGCAGATCGGAGCTTATAACGGAACCTTGAAAATCTCCTGTTCCAATGTCCAGTGGAGAAAGAGACGAGGGTGAAGTCAAACAGGATCAACCCCCCTGTAGGACTGGAGCCCAGGATCCCTCACTCCTGATTCTTTCCCTCTTCACCATGTGGCCTATGCATACATACTATGGGATGAGATTGGACACTTTTAAGTCAATCTTCAGTCTGGCTTATTTTATTACTTGCCTATTTCTGATAGAAGGAAAGGGTTGCCCAGTGATTGATAATCCCAGAAGTTGGGCCTGGGTACATCAGGGTGTCATTCACCATGTCCCAAGGAACGAGCCGTCAGACACAATTGATTTCCAGACTTTAGTATCCAGCTGGCACTCTCTCGAGTCCTCCAAGAAAGGGGAAAGATACTTTTGTTTTGTTTTACTTTTAACAACAACAGCAACAAAAAATCCAGTCAAGTGACAGAACAGATTCTCTGGTTTACATCTAAATGTCAGTCAACAGAGAGAGAAAAAGGCCCTTTTCCTTAGAACTTTTCAAGCTGAACAAGTACAGCTCCTTGGATGGGGGTGGGGGGGTGGTTCTCTCATCAGGACAGAAATGCACTTAGATGGCCTTCATGGCCTTTTCAAACCTAGGGATTTTAACACGTTGGAAGAAGCCGGGAAACGGGGTAAACAATGGGTGAACAAATTCATTGACTGTTCAGCTTAAGAAATGTTCTATTTGGCAGCCTCACGTCATCTTTGGGCAGCAACTGTCAAGACAAGAATTATAGAGGCACTCAATGTTTATCATCATTGGGTCCATTTGTTCCCTTTATTGGGTGAGGAGTTTAAGTCTTGGAGAGAGGAAAGGACTTGCAGAGGAAATCGTTGAGCACATTTCTAATTTTTAATTAGACTTTTATCAAATGGGATCAAACATACAGGAGGGGCTGCTGGCCTGCCCCAATATAGCCAGGCCACCTTGTTTCAAAGCTAATATCCACCTGTCCATGGGTTTTCAAAAGCCCAGTTGCCTCTGATGATCAGGAGGACAAGTTAATTGAACGTCTGTGATCACTAACAGGTAATGGCTATTGGGTCCACTCCTGAGCTACTGTGGGAGACAAATTCTTTTAACAGACTGTCCTCCAGGCGTCAGGAGTCCATGAAAAATCATGTTTTCTTTTCCTGTGTGTGCTGCATGCACATGTGTTTAAGACCCATGGGTGGCTTAGGGGAAAGTGTTAGCCACAGTATCCATGTCGATGTTTAACTATATTTCATATTTGATGTTTCATAGTTTTCAAATAAACCGTGTTTTCCATTACTCAGATATTTATTTTGGGGCAGACAACAGGTGAAAATTACATTTCTCAGATGCGCTGCTATTTTGGCATCATGACTTTGTTCTCAGAAGTTTTTCATGCATCACTAAGAGCTACTAATGAAAGCAAGTGGCAGTGAGTTTTTTGAATTGTGGTAGCCCATTAGGGCTGGAGTATTTATTAACAACCAGAAAGAAAGTCTTGATAGTAATCTCTTAATTGTTAATCTCATGCTTCATCATTTGCTTCTAGTCATCATCATTATATCAAGACATTAATGGTAAACTGAGGTTTTTGATACATCATCACATTGAAGTTACAAAAAAGTAATAATCATGCTTCCTCAAAAGAAAAACGAAGCCTATCCAATCTTGGAATCCAATTGTACAAGTAGAATTCGGAGAATTCTCATTCAGTCTTGTATCCAAACAGCTACAAATTTTTCTAGACATTAATAATAAACAGTGGAATTTTATCTTAAAGACATTTTGGAACCTAACTTCCCCATTACATCTATAAAAGCTGTTGCATACACAAAGCTGTTTTAAAGTTGTCATATGTTGTTTGCTAAAGTCATTGTATTTTTTTTTTGCCTGCTTTGCCTCTTTTTGTACAGAAGTTTTGAGTGTGAAATGAAAATTAAAGTTTGGTACATATATTTAAAAATATACCTCTATTTTATATGATGTTCAGCGCTGAGTGGGTGATGAGCACATGATCATAGATATTTGCTAAACACCTGCTCTGGGGACAAGCAAATCACACCACCTGCCTTCCACCTCTCTTTATATACAACATAAAATACGCAAAATGTTCTGCTCTTGGTACCAGCTATATTTTATTAATTTCAGCAAAGATCTTTCATTATTTAAAAAGGTATAGAATAAAAAGAGGCATGATTGATATCTAGAGATTCATGAGACCTACTTGTCCAAGGATGCTAAGGAACATGCATTCTATCTTTTGAGAGTAGTAGCCCTTTATGGATGCAACAAAGTCGGCCATTAACTTATTCTATATATGTACATTTTTCAGTCAACTTCAGCTTTAAAGCAATTCTTTTAAAAATTGAATATTGAAACTGTTTTAGAGTATCCTTGCATATTTTAAGCTTTTCACCTGAGATCTAATTGTGTGTGCTATCAATGGGTCAGAGTCCCCAAAAGAGACCTTCTCTATACAAAAGACAAAGATACAATAATTATATCTATTTGAGACTCAAAGGGAAATGAGTAGGAATGGGAAATTTTCTGTAAATTGACACATTGATAAATTATAAATGGACACAAGCTGGAAGGACAGAGAAGAGAAGGGACCAAGAGAGAAAGAGAAAGACCCTAGTTAAATGAGTGTTGAAAGTCAAGAGACATGAAAAAAATGAGTGTACGTGTGATTATCAAGAGGAATACAGCTAGTGAGGAATACCCTTCACGCCAGCCAAAAAGTTGGTTGTTAATCAGCGCTCTCTGGAAGGATGGAGATGAGGGGTTTAGCTGGCCACATTCTTGAAACCTGGTGAACAGTGAATATATGCAATCTGTATTCACCTTGACTTCATACTCCGGGGTATCACTGAGTAGATAGAATTTCTAGGCAAGCATTTGCTGCTTGAAACGTCTGTACTATATTTAGTCATCACGACTTAAGTGATTAAATAATACTAAGTAATATGTACTTATACTTTTTATACAATTTACTTGTACTGTTCATATTCATTAATACGTTATTCCATCCAATGCCAAAATCCTGGTCTCTAATAGTAAAAACAAAACAAAAAACAAAGAAACAAACAAAGCCTTGCTGATCACACCCTCATACACCTTTTATACAGTAATAAAGAGAGGTCTTGACTGTTCTATCTCTTCAGCTCAAAGACTACAAAGAAGGGAGTTTTTCTGCTCTGGTCACATCAAGTTACAAATTCCATAAAAATACCTTTTGAAATTGTGGTAAGTAGGATATTAGATAAATCCCAGAAATTTTTGTAGAGTCATTTAGGTTGAGAGATCTTGTAAACTCATTTAAGAAAGTCTTTTCCATATGAAATCTTCCTGTTTTCCTCCACAAATTGCATATTTCTAGTCTCTTCTCTCTGTCCGCACTTACTCTCCATTTTTAAATTGTCCTTATTTGCCCCGTGACTGGCTTTGTTTCAAGTCAGGAGTTACATTTTATTAGCCATTCTTGCAGTGTTGTGACTTGAGGACCAGTGGTTTTAAAAGGCTCCTGCCACATTGAAAAAGCCTGTCTCCAGAAAATATCAAAAGAACTTGAAGGAAATTGTAAAATTATTTTCTTCAGAATGTCAATATATATGATTTTCCTTCCTTTGGTATAAGAGAAATAATGCAAACCCTGTGGGGAGGGGTATAAAGGTGATAGTGTTATATGTGAATGTGGGTGGGGAAGCTAAAAGCATAGGGAGCCCTAGGCTGAACCAGGTGAATATTAACTACCTTCATGTGCCAGGGGCATTTCCACTCCTTTGATATTGTCATTAATGCACCCCCTCTTCTTCCTTGCCTATTTGAAGTTTACCTAGACATCAAGGCCTGGGTCATACATAGTCTTCCAGAAGCTTCCCCTAACCACTCCAATTCATGCTAATCCTCCCTGTTCTGGGTCTCTAATGCATTTAATTTATTTGATGCTAAATATAGGGCATGGAACAGCACTTTATATGTTTGTTTCTTACAGTAGATGTTAAGTCTGTAAGGGAAGAGAATGTGTCCCTTATAGGGTCAAGCTCAATGTAAGCCGGCAGCCAACAGAACCTGCCTGTAAAGGGGAAACTTCAGGGTTCTGACACCTGAATGCGCTGAAATGAAACCCGGAGAATTAATTTCTATAGCTCACAACTATCCACAGTAACAAAGTATCTGCTCCCTTGGCTGGTCAACTTTATTCCTGGAGGAAATACTTACCTGCCAGGGTATTTTTAACCTCTGTGGACACAGCTTGCAGCTTGTAGCTGATATGCCAGGAGTCCAGCTGAGAAATCAGGCTGTTGTCTTGATCAGAGGTCAGAGTCAGTTAGTCCTGGCAAGGGCAGGCATGCTATCAGATGAAGTCTAGCTTGGTCTGGGACAAGGCTGCTTCGGAGAACTGAGCTTGAGGCAAAGGCAAAAGGGCAATAAAAGCAGGTTTCCAGTAACTAGACAAATCAATTCAGCACCTTGGATAGCAATCTAAGCATGTTCTCCTAACAGTCCATAGCCATTTCTCCTGGAATCTGTAAGTCCTATTACTTGGTTCCACTTTGTCTCTAAAACTCTGATTGTTCATTAGAAAATTTAAGTTGCTAGGTAGCTGGGAAAGCATTTTTCTATGTCCTGAGACTTCTGAATATCACATAAGATGGGCAGAAAATAGTTTTGGAAAGGTGCCAGTATCATCTTGGGTTTTCATATTCATAGTTTTAGATTCAAGCTAAACTCATAGGAATGACTCTTCTTTCTTCTTTACCCTAACTCCTTCAGCTAATCTTTAAGTCCTAACAAATATCTTTTCTAAAGAGGTCTCAAAATCAACTTCTCCCAGTTCATTTTGTTTTATTTCCTCTATGCTTCACCATCTTTTCTTTAGAAGATCATCCAGCCCTTACTCTCCCTCCTTGCCACTCTCTATACAGCCAACACCATCTTCCTGTGACATATATCTGAGCATGCCTGTGTCATACGATTGCCTTTAGCAAGTTTCCTGAAATATGTTCCCAGAGATGTTAATTGATGTTCCATCAAAAAAATTTTTTTTCAGTTTTCAAGTACTTTTGAAACAAGGTTAAACACATTATTTTTTTAGAGATTTTATTTGTTTATTTGAGAGAGAGAGAGCACGAGTGGGGTGAGTGGCAGAGGGAGAGGGAGAAGCAGACTCCCCACTGAGCAGGGAGCCTGATGTAGGGCTCAATCCTGGGACTCCAGAATCATGACCTGAGCCGAAGGCAGATGCTTAACCAACTGAGCCAACCAGGCACCCCAAACACATTATTTTTTAATACCAATTTTTTTTATTCATTGTACATCTCCACAGGAAGGTAGAGCATATTCTGCATGGAAATCAGCTTGTTGATTTCTACACACACACACACACACACACACACACACACACACACACACGAGCTTGTTGGAATTTTATTAAGATTTCCTTATATCATATCAATTGATATACATAGCAATTTGAGAAGAATGGACATCTTAACAATATTGAGTCTTCTGATCTGTGAATATAGTAAATCTTCCCCATTTGTTTAGGACTTCCTTGATTTCATAAGATTTTTTTACATAAACTATCTGTGAGTAAAGATAGCTTTACTTTTTCTTTCTCAATATGAATCCTATGTATTTCTTCTCCTCTCCCTATTACACCAACTAACCTCTGGCACAATGTTGAACAAAAGTAGTAAGAATGGACATTCCTATTTAGTTCCTGATCTTAAGGGGAAGCATCTAGTCTTTCATCATTATGAGTGTTGTTAGTTTTAGGCTATACGTAGATGTCATTTATCAGATTGAGACTCTCTTATTTTGCTGAGAACTATTATCAAAAACACATGTTGGACAAAAACACTAATTCAAGGGATACGTGCACCCTATGTTTATAGCAGCATTATTTACAATAACCAAATTATGGAAGTAGCTTGTGTCCACTGACTGATGAATGGATAAAGATGTGGTATGTATGTAGAATGGAATATTATTCAGCCATAAAAATGATTAAATCTTGCCATTTTCAATGACATGGATTGGGCTAGAAAATATAATGCTAAGTAAAATAAGTCAGAGAAAGACAAATACCACATGATTTCAGTCTTATGTGCAATTTCAGTAACAAAACAAACAAAGGGAAAGAGGGAGAGAGAAACCAAGAAACAGACTCTTGACTATACAGAACAAACTGGTGGTTACCAGAGGGGAGGTGGGTAGGGGGATGGGTGAAATAGATGGGGATTAAGGAGTGCACCTGCAGTGATGAGCCCTGGGTGATGTGTGGAAATGTTGAATCACTATATGGTACAACAGAAACTAATATAACACTGTGTGTTAGCTATACTGGAATTTAAATCAATCAATCAATCACACAACAAAATACTAGATTCTCAGAAATATAGCCTCTACAACATACAACATATAGTAAATTTAGGTGACATGCAGAGAATCAGGGAACATTTATCTGTACAATAGAAACATATCCATAAATATAAGCAATGATAAAATTAGCAGACAAAAACTTTTAAAAGGCTATTATTAATATCTTTAAGGAGTTAAAAAAGAATACATGTCGGATTTTGGCAAATGCTTTCTCTGAATCTATTAAGATAATCACATCTTTTTTTTTCTTTTTAGTCTGTTAATATGGTGAATTATATTGATTTTCGAATGTTAAACCAATTTTGCATTGCTGAGATAAACTCTACTTAGTCACGATTTTTTGTCCTTTTTACACATTTTTGTATTTGACTTTTTAAAACTTTGTTGAGAATTTTCGCATCTATGTTCATAGGGATATTGGCTGTTAGTGTCCTTTTCTTGTAATGATTTCACGTGATTTTAGTATTAGAATAATTCTGGCTTCATAGAATGTGTTAGGAAAATCTTCCCTCCTCTTCAATTTTTGGAAGAATTTGGACAGAATTTACCCTTCACTAAACTCCTTGACCTAATTCTTT